ACCACCACCACTGTACCCACCCATCCACCCATCTCAGAAATTCTTATTCTACTTGCTGTCCCTATAGGTTCATCAATCCTGGGTTTCATATACTGAAAACAGAACAAACAGAACACAACTTCAAAAGAGTGACCTCCAATGACATAGCACTTCTGAGACTCTTTAAGGATGAAAATATTTCATGTATTGTATGGATATTTCACAAATGTTTGTCCATTCTTTTGTTGATAGATATAGATAAATTCATAGAAAATAAAAAACTACCAAAATTGGCATTGTGGGGAATGAGACAGTCTCAGTGTGAGAGATGAGATGTTCGCTGTAGAAGGTGAGATGATCTTACTGCGCAGTGAGATTTTCACACTAACAGAGATGTGCTCGCTGTGAGAAGTGAGGTGATCACAGTGGAGGTAAGATGTCACACTTGAGAAATAAGATTGTCAACGTGTAATAAGAAAGGTGAGAGATGAGAAGGTTACACTGTAAGATGTAAAATGGTCCTCGTGTGAAATGTAGCCGTTCTGATGGAGATGATATGGATCTACCGTGAGAAGTGTGATGGTCATTGTGGCAGATGAGGTGCTTAAATAGTCACTGTCATGGATTGAATAGTTGTGTCCACCACTCCATTCCCCCTTTAAAAAATGCATTAATTTGACGGGGCTATATGATTCTCAGTGATTTGGCTACGTAATAATGTAATCAGGAAGTTACAAAATCATGTAAACATCCCCCGAGATGTGATATTACATGATCAACCTATGCATTGTATAAGGATGGCAATGGGATTCAACACACTTGCTCAGGTCACAGCCCTGATTTGATTGAAGGGACAATTCTCTGGGGTGTGACCCTGCGTAACTTTTTTCTCTTAAAAGAGATAAAAGGAAAGAGACTAGCGCATAGGAAGAGGAACTTCAATGCCACCAAAAAGAGCCAGGGTCCCTGAATTGAGAACCTTCTAGACACAAGGTATGCTGGATGCAAAGATATATGGAGATCTTTAAGGGGAACTGAAACCATAGATACTACTGAAGGGAGACAAGGACCTTCCCTTAATGTTGACTCAGAAGCTTCTCCCTACAGTTGGCACTCAGTATTGGAACATCTAGACTCCTGAACTGTCAGAAAATAAATTTCAATTTATTAAAGCCCTCCGCTTGTGATATTGTTGTTATAGCAGCACTGGATAGCTAGGACAGCCACACTTCACTCTAAGGTCATCATACTTAATGGAAAGCAAAATGGTCAACTTGAGAGGCAACTGATAGCAAGTGGTTACAGTGTAAGTGATGGTATTGTCGTATTGTGAGAGTTGAAATAATCTCACTGAAAGATGCGAAGTGGTCACAATGTGAGAAGTCAGATGGTCACAAGTCAGGTGCTATGTTCACAGTGTAAACAATGAAATGATCACTCTGTGAGATGATCTATGAGAGATGAGATGGTCAAATGGTGACAGAGAGGTAAGATGACCATGTGAGAGGAGATAAGACCATTTTAGGAGAGGTGAGGTTTTGAGATGATTGTTATGAGATGTGTGGAGGTAAGAGGTCACACTGAAAGGTAACGTGATCACACTGAGAGGCGAGATCACCCAACTATGATGTGACATATTCGCACAGAACGGATATGCTAGTCATACACATAGGGAGATGGGTATTGTGTGAAATGGCCACATTTTTAAGGGTGAAGTATTCAGTCACATTTTGAGAGGTGAATTGAGAAGTAGGAAGGTCACACTGTGAGAGGTAAAAAGATTTCCTTGAGTTATACAATTTTCACAGCAGGTTGTAAGCTGGTGATAGTGAGGGTGAGATTCAGTCCTCACTCTGAGAGTTGAACTGCTCACATAGACAATGGTGACATGGTAGCGGTAAGAGGAGAGGTGGTCACACTGTGAGAGATGTGACCTGGGGTGGTTACAGTAGTAGATGGCCATGCTGAGAGAGGCAAGAAGCTCACAGTGTAGAAGTGAGATAGTCACAAAATAAGAGAAGATAGGAAATTGTGATTGTGAGATAGTTAAGATGAAGAGAGAGGTTAGAAGTTGACAATGTGAAGTGAAAGTATGACCAGTAGTAATACGGCTTCTGTGTGTTGTGAGCCAACCTCTCTGAAGAGTGAGATGACAACATTGAGTTTGGGGACTTTCCCGCCAAATTGTACAATAGTCACGCTAAGAATGAGATTGTCACCCGACAAGAGGTAGGAAAAGCAACTCTGGGAGACTGAGGTGAGCACAGGAGTGGTAAGAGACTCAGACAGTAAGGGTGAGATGGTCACAGAGTGGGACACACACACACACACACACACAGTGAGATGGTTACACATGGAGAGGGGAGCTTATCACAAAGATGATTGTCACAGTTGGATGGGGTGAGATAGACACAAGTAAGATGATCAGACTGATTTATATGATGGTCACTTTGAGAGGTGAAATGGTCCCACTATAAGGTGGTCAGTATGATAGGTAACATGTCACAGTATTAGATGTGGGATAGTCACTCTGGTAAGTAAAATGGTTACATGGGGTATGGTGAGATGGTGATCCCTTTAGGTGTGAGATAATCTCACTATGAGAAATAGATTCGATGGACCAACTGAGTGTGGAGACAATCACCTTCGGAGATGAGAGCTGGTCATTTTAAGTGTTGAGATGATCTTCCTAGATTGTGATAGGGTCGCTCCATAGCTATGAGAAGGCCCCAGCATGAGAGTCAAGTGGTCCCCATTGGACACATGATGGTCAGACTGTGAGGTGACACCGTAAGACTGTGAGTTGTGAGATGGCCATTTTAAATTGTAAGATTGTTCTAAAGGAGTGAAAGGTGAAAGAGTCACATTGAAATATGAAAGGGTCACACTGTGAGCTTTAAGTTGGTCACAGTGTAAATTAAGACCACCCTGAGAGGTGGGCATATGGTCGCGCTGTGGAATGTGAAATTGTATCGTTGTCAGCAGTCACACTTTTAAATAAGGTTATCAGTGAGAAGTGAAACGGTTGGGTTGTTGGCGCTGAAGTGACTCAAATGGAAAGAGATAAGAAAGTCACAGTGTGATAGGTGAGATGATCCCAGGCTGTGAAATGAGATCGATCGTCACAAGGTGAAGGACGCAGTAGTCACCGGCCATTATATCATGACAGGTGATCTGATCAGCCTGACAGAAGTGAGGTGGTCACAGTGCTGGAGATGGTATGGTCACGTCACGAGGGGTGTGATGTTCTAATTGAGATGTGACACAGTAATCCTCAGTGGCAAGATGGTGACTCTAGATGTAAGACAGTTACAGTGTACGAGGTAAAGTAATCACACTGAGGTGTGAACTAGTCACCTTACACATGAGTCGGTGCTGCTGTGAGGTGAGATCATCACACTGCGACAGGTGAGGTGAAGATGAGAAGTGAGAAGTCAGATGGCCACACCGGGGGAGGGGGGCTGGTCACTGTGAGAGGTGAGAGGCTATCCGATGGTCGCACTGCAGTGAAATGGTCAGACTGATTCAGAAGGTCACTGTCTGAAAGGTTCCATGGTCATCAAGTGGGAGGTGAGATGGTCACTCTGAGCAATGAGCTGATGACCTCAAAGTGATGTGAAGTGATCATACTGGTGGGGAGTCTGGTTACTACCAAGAGGTAAGATAGGTCAACTGTAAAAAGGTGACTTTGAATGATAAGGTGCTAAATGAAAGATATTTGTCTAGGAGTTAGGATTGTCACGTGTGTGAGGTTCAGTGTTCATTTTGTGACACGATCACATTTTGTGATATTTCTGTGAGAGACAGAAATATCACATGATAAGAGGTGACATGGTAACCCTGGGAGGTGAGAGCAGCCCACTGAGATGTGGGATTATCTCGCCAAGGGTGAGACGGTCACTCTGAGGAGGGAGACAATCACAGTGGGAGGCAGGTGGCCACACAGTGACTGGTTAGCTGATCTGTGAGAGGTGGACCTGTCACCTTGAAGTGTGAGATGGTCCCATTCAGAGGTCAGAGGATCAGTGTGGAAGGTGAAACGGTCACTTGTTATAAGTGAAATGAATGGTCATATAATGAGAGTTTGACTTTTCACCTAGGACAGTAATTCCTGAAGGTTTCATGTTGTGATTTTACACTCTAAGCTTAAATAAAATGGTATCATCTAATCTGTTTTTATATTGCTTTGATACAAGTATCCAGGGGGTGGGGGGGCTGTATACATAGCAGAATATATCTTTAGTGGCATGTTGATGATACTGTAACATTTCAACATCTACAGTATCTAATTCTCAGCACCATTTTTCCTTTTCTCTCCCTGCCTTTGTTAAGCTGATTTAAAACAGAAATCCTGTGGTCCCCACTGACTCTAAGTGTTGTGTGTGTAAGCTCAGACATCTATTAATGTCTTGCTTAAATAACCAAATGATAATTAATTATGTTATGCCTCCTCAGACCTTGAATGTATTTTTCTATCCATAAATTCTTACCATTAATGAATTAATAGTCTAGTAGAACTCAGCCAGTAATCATTTTTTTCTTTCTGTATAATTCGACATTTAATTATGTTTATAAATATACCATTCTATGTTTATAAATACAGCATTAAAGTCTACTAGACTCTTACTTTAGGGAAATACTCAGTTATTACACTGTGCAAGAAGCCCACAGCTCAACCTTGGTGAGACACTTTTTGTAACATCCCTACTATATATGGCCATTTATGGGATCAAGCAAATATAGCAAAAATTTAGCCACACAATCCAGATTGGGGCAGGTGTGTGTTTACTGCACAATTCTGTCAACCTGATTATTTGAAAACCTTTAAATAAAACATTGGAGAAATACCTGTAATATTATAAGTATGCATAGCATATGGTTTGTATTTTCAAGTGACTTAATTCTCTCTGTGCCCTAAAAACAAAAATTTATTTTATTGAGCATTGGTCTTAGGATTTTAAAAATCTTCCTGATTGTAACAAAGTAAACCTAGTAAATCTAGGAATTTTAATGTAAACATGTTTAAACGTGTCCTATCTTATGTATTTTTAAACAAGCAAGACCTATAGAGAAAGTTTTAATTAAATTAAAGACTTCCATTTTCTCCACTATGGTAGATGGACTGAGCACAATCCTTTTTCTTTATAGGGAAATTGCCAAGTAATTTCTGAATCTGGTTCCTTATTTACTTCACAGGAGCCAGACCTTCCTTCCTTGGACCAATTAGCCCGTCAAATAGAAGATGAGGAAATAAACCTGCATGAGAAACCCCGGAAATATCTTCAAAGAGTTTTTCAGGACACTATCTACAAACCCTTGGTGGAGAAGAGCATCCTTGACTACTTACACTATAACCATTACCACCTGCCCATGTATGCATGGCCAGGCATCATTTAGGCTGGCACATAGTCCACTTTACTATTTCCCTACATGAAGCTTCTGGAAGTGCTCTGTAAAAATAGAAAATGATTCTGCCTGGCCTGACAGCAACCTGTTTTTAGTATTTCTATTCAGTTCCCTTATGCCTGTCATTTCTAATTGTTCCAGTAGGTGGCACTGGGCAGTGAATATCAATTGTCCGGTAGGGGTAAGCTTTACAAAATCCAAAAGCATGTTCCTAAATGTAGCAATAAAATGAGACCATGCTATGGAAAATATGTCTTTATCTCGGGTGTGATTCCGATTGATATTCTGGAATGTTCTGGTCCCAACTTTGTCAGTTCACACCTTTACCCAGAAATACTATGAGTGATAAAAAAGAAAATTGTATACGTAGAAGGTGAAATGAGTAAACATATGACTAAATGTTAAATCTTTAACCCAACATCAGAAAGATTGACTGTTTAAGAAAGTTTACAAGAATTTCCGAAATCAGGAAACTGATCATCACAATCCCCAAATTGCTGTTTCATGTTGCAGATCACCAGTATAACTATTCTGAAAGGTGGGAAGATCAGTGAGCTCACATACGGGTTTTGAATGATACAAAGGCTGTGGGAAGTTAATCTAGCTCATTTTCTTTGATCCTTAGTGCAGTTGCTTTGTTACAAGAGGTCTCTGATACATATCCCCTGTAATGCGGGACAGAAACCTCCCATTTTATAGGACCGTTTGCTTGCCCATTGATTGGCACATAGACTCGCCCACTGAATGACAAACTCATTGCAATCAAATTGATGCCAACTCACAGTGACCCTGTAGGACTGGGTAGAACTGCCCCTGTGAGATTTTGAGACTATAATTCTTGAAGGAGTAGAAAGCCTCATCTTTCTCCTGCAGAGTGCCTGGTGGTTTCGAACTGCTGATGTTGTGGATCAGACCCAACGTGTCACCACCATGCCATCAGGGCTCCCGATATTTTTACAAGCAAGGCTTAAATTGGTTCTCATGGACAGAATTCCAGCTTTTTATTACTTGTATTTATTTTATATTTGTATTTACATTCTGTCTTTGTGTTTTTATCTAGCAGACATTATTAGCACCATTATTAAGAATTCAACAGCTATGGGGAGGAAACATCATAGTTGGCACTCCAGAACTACACTTCTGTTTTCCAACCCTTTGCCACAAATTACTTAAACCAAAATTGCTTGCTACTTCTCAAAAGTGAACTTAATCCACAACTCTAGAGTCAGAATTTTCCAAGACAGGCAAAAGCAAAACATTCATTCCTTCACAACTATGTTTTATGTAAATGAATGTGTCATTTCGAGGGCTCGGCTTCAGCCATATGGTGCAAACTGGACAGCTTGCAAAGGGAACAATTGGGGTGGACCCCTCTTCAGAGTGTCGATCCAACACACATGAAACCCTATTTCAAGGGTTTGTGAATGAGCTGTGAACGACCTGTCCCGCTTTCCCCCTCTAAGAGCGCCTGGGTCAAATTCACCAGCAAGTGGAGTGAGTTTCTGTGGCAGACCCTGGGCCCTTGGGTAGAGATTACAAGAATAACCTCTGTTAGAAAAACAACAGTGATGACTTTTCTGTGACCAAGTGTAACCACTAAAAAGCCACTGGTGACATAGAAGTAACCCAAAATAAAAATGAAAATTTTAGTACCAAATCATGCATAATTTTGGTACACTGTTCTTTACTGGCTTTTTAAAAGTAGTTTTGGACCTCAGTAAGTATCCTGGCAGGTTTGAAAATATATAGAATATATTTTATTCTATGACATTTATTTAGCAAGGTTGTTTTACCATCAGCCCATAATCAGAAAGTGGAATATCACTCCTCCCTGAATCTAGGGAGGAATTTTGGCATATAGACACCAACTCAGTATTTTATCATTGGTGAAAAAATGCTCTACCAATAAGAGAAGAAGCCACATGATCTTTGGTCATGGCTTGAAATTTCCTGTTTCACAGAGAAAGAGAGATCTCTACTACTAGCTAGTGGTAATGCCTGGAAAAAGCAAGGGTTTCGGTGAGCGCAATATTTGGACTTCCATCTCTGTCCAAAAGGAATAAAATCTATCGAGACAAAAACACGGGAATTCCCATCATTGTGGTTAAGCCTGAGTACTTGGGGCTCTAAGGCAGATCTTGGAATGTAGTTTTTGATCAAAGAACGTTGGCACGAAGGTACCAAGGTTAATTTTCAAATGTTGTATTCCCTCAAATTACGTGCAACAACACTGCATCATTGGTGCCTTTAACGATCTCATGGCAGGTTTGTTTTTAATAAAGTGAGTCCCTCTCAATCCAGAAATGGCTCTTCATTGTTTTATGGGGCCCGGGTATCGCAGGAAGGCAAAAGAAAAGGGGGCTGGGGGGACCGTGCATGGAGCATAAAATATGAAGCTAGCCAATCCATGTTTATCCCCCTTAGAAGAGGGCCAGAGAGACCTCATTAGAGCAAGTGCTAGCTAGGACGTCAGAGAACTCCGCTCCAAAGTCTCTGTGTGAGAAGCTGTTGGTTTGTGTTCTGCTTGAGGGAAGCAGTGATGATAAGGCTCGGATAGCGCCAGGGCCTGGATGGGGCCCGAGCCCAGCAGCTGTATGCTAATGTTCACAGAAACCGAGCGAGGCACACGCGCCCCGGCCACCCCACTCCCACCCCCCACCCCCCCACCCCCATTGAAGCAGGCGGCCAGGAGGCCACACATCACTGAACAAATAGGCACTCTCTAGACAAATAAAATAACACACGTATGCTGGCAGGGAGGGGTAGCGGGGGTAGAAAGGAAAAGTGGAGGCGGGGGTTGGGGTGGGAAAAGAGGAAGCTGGATGAGGGTTGTGAGCAGAGAGGACAAAGATGGAGGGAGAAAGAAAAAGATCTGTGAGGGGCAAGACAGGGAAGGGGAGAGAGAAGGAGGGGAAGGTGGGTGGGAGGGAAGAAATTCACTGAGGATGAGATGGAGAAAGAGGCAGGGGGAGAAGACTGGGATGGGAGAGGAGAGGAGAGATGGAAGAAGAAGGGAGAAAATTGGAAAGAAGAGAGGTGGGGGGAGGCGAAGGAGTGGTGGGAAGAGAAGCAGCCCCCAGGGTATAGGAGAGCTAGGGGCAGGGGAGATCACAGGCCTCCAAAACTTAAGGGTAGAAACAAGTGACTTAAGAAAGCGCAGCCCTGCTGCCCACCCCACCCCCGCCCCCCCAGCCTCGGAGAAGGGGTTGCCTTGGTCTTTCTAGGGGGCCTTTCGGCCTGTGTTTGCTCAGGTTTCTTTTCTCCTCTGAGTCGGAGGGAGGTGAGAGAGGTGGGCCGCCCACCCCTCTTAGCAGGCAGCAAACAGCTGGGTAGCATGAGCGCGCGCGCGCGCACACACACACACACACACACACACACACACACACCGGTCCCGCCCCGGCCTCCTCCCCCCGTGCACGTCGTCCCCACTCATTCTGGACCATCCCCGCTCTTCCTGGCAGGAGTCTCTGGTTCGGTTACTGCTTTCCCACATCCTTCCCCAGTGGTTCGGCCAACACCTTTCTCCTACAGCCCAGCTTGGGATCTTCCTTCCATCGACCCCCACCCAGGTCCGATGGTCCCCAGGAAGCAAAACTCAACAGGCCGGAGGGCGTCTCCCGAAGTCCCGGGTGGCCCAGACCGCACACTCAGGTGGGCCCCGCCCCGCCCCCTCTGGCCCGGCCGAAGAACAGGCACCAGCAGCTTGCGCGGCCCTGGAGGCGGTAATCCCTGAGCAGCGGCTCCCGCGCCAGCGAGGCCTCGCCTACTCCTCTCTTTCAGACGCGCTCCTTTTGTGTGCAATTATTTCAACTAGAGATCCGAGGCAGCTTTATGCTAATGTGCCGGACAAAGACAACAGCCTGTGAGCTGGGGCCCAGGGGCCTTCCGAAAGTGCCTGCAGGCTGGGCCAGGGCGGCAGGGAGGCTGCGCGTGTCTCTCACGTGCCCCTCAGACCAACACACAACCAACCCGTCATTTCTGTGAACAGAAAGCCTCTTTCCCAGCTCGGGCCTGTGCGCCCTGTAAATTGGGCCACCACCGGCCCTCTAAGGGTTCAGGCCCAGCCATGGCTCATGGGGATGAATAAGAGCCAAGGAGTGGTGGTGGTGGTGGGGTCTTCTGTAAAGCCAGGTGATGGGTCCCCAGCAAGGTGGGAATAAACTGAAATCAAACTAAATTCACTGCCATCAAGTCGATGCCCACTCATAGTAACCCTAAAGGGCAGGGTAAAACTGCCCATGTGAGGTTTCCCCGATGATAACTGTTTCTAGGAGTAGAAAGCCCAGTCTTTCTCCGGGAGAGACTGGCGGTTTTGAACTGCAGATCTTGCAGAGCATAGCCCAGTGTATAAATCCTGCCTAGCCACTGCAAACTCGCTGTCTGGCAGGGACACTATTGCAGCCCTGCCTATCTTTGCTTCCAGTGAGCTCCAGAGTGGCCTGTCTTTCCAACATGCAACAGGATGCGCTCCTTGACCTAAATACCCAGCTTTAGGCCTAATCAGAGAAGCTGGCCTGTAGGAAGAAGAATGTGGTATCAGGATTTCACAGGCTTATTAATGTGTGATATTCAGATGACACAACCTTGCTTGCTGAAAATGAGGGATACTTGAAGTATTTGCTGATGAAGATCAAGGATTGATGCCTTCAGTGTGGATTACAACTCAAAGTAAAGAAGAGCAACATCCTCATAACTAGACAGACGGGTAGGTAACATCGTGAAGTATGGAGGAAAGGTTGAAATTGTCAAAGATTTTGTCTTGCTTAGTTCCACAATCAATTCCCTTGGAAGCAGTAAGCAAGAGATCAAAAGACAGTTGCCTTCTATGAATCTGCTGCACAAGACCTCTGTAGAGTATTAAAAAGCAAGGATGTTTGTTACCTGGAGGACTAAAGTACACCTGACATAAACCACGGTGTTTTCAACTGCCTCGTGTGTATGGGAAAGTTGGTCAGTGAATAAGGAAGACCAAAACAGAGCCGATGTATTTGAACTGCGGTGCTGGAGAAGACTATGGAAAGTACCGTGGACTGCTCAGAGGACAAACAAATCTGTCTTGGGAGAAGTACTGCCAGATGACTCCTTTGAGGCAAGGATGGCAAGACTTCCTCTTACATACTTTGGACATGGTATCAGGAGAGACCTGTCCCTAAAGAAGGACTTCATGTTTGACAAAATAAAGGGGCAGGGCCCCAAGAGTCCCGAGGAGAAGCACAAGGCCTGGATGAGGTCCTTGTCTCACCCACGTTCCTAAGTATGGGGTCTTGTACCTGTCATAAATAAAACTGCCCTGCCCTCCCCAGTCATCCCCCACAAATAAAAATAAATAAATAAAGGGGCAGGGAAAGAAAGGAAGACCTTCAGTGAGATAGATTGACACTGTGACTGCAACCATGGGCCACAAATAGGAACAATTGTGAGGATGCTGCAGGACTAGGCATTGTTTCATTCCGTTGTGCAGAGGGCCGCTATTGGTGGGAATCAACTCAATAGCATCTAACATCGTTGTTATCTAACAATAGCCCTAATTTCCTGCCTTGACACTCTCCAGAAACTCCCTGGTGCCTTGAGTCTTATGTTGCAATCAAGTTGTAGGGTAAAGGGGACCAAGGCTCATACCCTAAAAGCAGCCTGAGACACCAAGCCAGCTCCGGGGTGGTAGAAAGAAAACCCCAAACTGAGGTCTGTAAGGACCAGAAAAGAAGAGTCCATGTCCTCACATAGAAGGAACGAGGCTCCCAGGACAGAGGAAGACCCGTTGATGCCCTACCTTGGATCCCTGTGGCATGGATTCTTGGGCATGCTCCCAGTTCTCTGAGAGAGGGACAAGTCAGTACTTAGTGTTTCCACATCCCAGTTCCATACAATCCCTCCCTGGAATGGCTGTGCTTAAAGGCTGGCCTTGGGAACTCAGCATAGTGGTGCTTTGCTCTTCTTAGAGCAGAGGTTCTCAACCTTCCTCATGCCACAACCCATTAATACAGTTCCTCATGTTGTGGTGACCCCTCAACCATAAAATGGTTTTCATTGCTACTTCATCACTGTCATTTTGCTACTGTTATGAATCAGGCTACCCCTGTGAAAGAGTCGTTAGGTCCCCAAAGGGGTTGCAACCCACAGGTTGAGAACCGCTGTCTTAGAGGAAGACATGTAATCAACTGGATGTGTCAAGCCTTGTGGCTCATTGATTCTGGGAAGAACAAAAAACAAATAAACAACCCAAAACAGGCAGCAACTTAGGGCAACTGCATTGTTGGTATGTGCTGGCAGGTAGCTTGTTTTTTCCCCCAACTTATGAAGTTAGTTTTGAATACTGTACCTTTCAGGTTTCCATTTATGTTAACCGTCCCTGCCTGAAAGTAGATTTCATTTCAGCTGGAAACACTAGAAGCTACAAATAAAGAAAAAGTTGGAGCCTTTGAATCTCAGTCTCTCAATAACATCCAATAGATTCCCTTGGCTTAATTCAGAGCCCTGCTTGAATTTGGTGCATTCAAGCAGAGGTGTTTTTTTTTTTCTCGATCCTACTTCTTCTTTACAGTATAGGTGCTGTTATTTTTAAAGGATTCATTGGGAAACTGTCCCTGCTAGTTGTTGAATGAAAGGAGTGTTACATATGCAAGACCAAATATGGGCTCCCAGTCAGCTGGGAAGGGCTGGTGCCCTCTTCCTCCACCTCCACCTATTATTCTTCAATCCAGATGAGATTCTGGATGAGAAATAAAACTGGCCGGCACCGTCCAGGAATCTCTTTCCCACTTCTAATTTCATCAGCTGTATTAATCTTCACTCAAAAGAGCAAGAAAATAACATCCGTTTCTTTTAGATGGAGACGTATTTACACATCTTAGATAAATTCATTTTAGGATTTCTAACTTTTGAGGGGGAAAAACCTTAGAATTTATCTCGGTTTTTTTAAAAAAAATAAAACTTTTCAAATATATTCATTATATTTTTCTTTTCAGACTGTGAATTTTTTAAATCACAAATATAAAATCAGCAAATGTCTTTGCCCTTGATTAACTAGAGAGATTCCCTAACAACTATTGCTATCACAAGCTATTACTCACGTGGATGCTGGAAAATTAAAAAAAAAAAACTAGTTAATTACCATACCCGTCTATTTTCAGAGGGAAAATCCAAAACAATTAAATACTAGTTTAAGGGCAAGCAAAACTCATTCAGCAAAATCTAACAGCGCGCATTTTTGCTGGAAAAAGTCTGTTTCTTCCCTTTCAGTAATGTCACATTTTCCTACAATATACAACATAGTATGGCGATTTACTACTTGTTTCGCATGTCTGTGAGGGTTTGCCCCTGGCGACTCCGCCTGCTTCCTCGGGCTGAGTTAGAAAGTGGATGAGGCGGCTGGGGCCATGCCTATAATCTTTTCCTAGTGGCATCGGGGAGATGGCCAGTTTTCTCGGAGGCCGAGGGCGCAGCCTACCTCAGAGGACAGATTGCCCCCCTCCCCCCAGCCGGCAGCACGCGTCTCTTTTGCTTCCAGATTGGCCAAGGCCAGCGCTCAATAGCTGGAGGTTAATTTCCTTCACAAAGGTGAAGGGGGCACAGTTGGGGGGGGCGGGGGTGCACCCAGACAGGCGGCCCCTTTATTCCCCAGTGCCTTGATTGGAGTCCTTGATTTAGCATCTGATGTCAACCAGCAGACAAAATGCCCGATCAGAATGAAAATGCATGAAGCCGTGCTGGGGAGGGCGTAAACCAACTTCGCTGGCACTCTGGGCCATTCGCCTGCGACCGACAAAATTCACCAGGAGCAGCCCACTCCTGGGCAGCCAGGGCGCTCGGAACAGGCAGGGGAGAAAGCTTTCAAGGATGCAAATTCCCAGCCCTGAGGAGTTTTATAAAGAAAAGTTCCCAAATTCGAATTCCTTTTGGACTCCAGCCCAGTCCGCTCCTCCTCCCCGAGGTCTGCGGGCAATTGAAGAAGTGGGATGCCAACTGTTTCCCAAACTCAAAAGAAATCGTTCTGGGAGCCGTAGACAGACCGCAGAGGCGCTGAAGCTGTAGGCATTGACATTTCCGCACTGTTGACGCTAGAAAGATCAAATCCTCTCCCCAAACTTGGAGCCTGGGCTTCCATTTTCGCTTATGCCCGAATCCCTCGGCCCACCGGTCCCTGGCGCAGGTGGGGGTTCTTGGCTGTCCCGGCTTTCCAGATATTTTCGACTCTTAATTATTTCTGAAACTCCACCCAGACCTCCGGAGCAGCCCCCCAGTCTCGGCCTTTCGCCCCACAGCCACCCTCCCAGATCCTGTCGCCTGCTGCTGTCCCCCCGCCCCCAACCCCCAACCCATCCATTCAACGGACATCACATTCCCCCTGCTCTGACTCGCGTATCGCGCCCTCTTGGCGTATTGGGGGCCATTCTTGTCCTTTGTTGCTATTTTGCTCGCAAGCCGAGGGTAATCCTCCGCGGGAAGGGGGCCGCATTGTCGTTCGAATAGACTGGCCCATTTGGCGCCCCCCCCCCCCCCCCAAGGAGCGACACAAAGCCCAGGCACGTGTGCCTCCAATAGTGGAACCGAAGAGCATCGGACCGTGAAGGAAGGCGGGGCCAGGCGTGTGCCGGGCTTGGAGGGGCGCCGCGGCTGCTGGAGTGCTGGAGGGGCACTCTTCCACCTCCCCCCCTCCCTCGCCCCGCGGACCCTTCCCCTCCCCCCTTCTCAGGTACATCTGCCGCACCTACCGGGCGACCCCCGGGGCTCGGCTCCCTTTTTGCAGCCCGGTGGCGCTCCCACCCTGCGAGGCGGAGGAGCTGCGGGCGCGCTGATTGGCTCCGGGGAGAGCGGGAGGCGAGAACAATGGCCCCCTCCCCCCGTTAAAAGGCGGCC